GAACTCACAGAGATCCGCCTGCCTCTGCCTCCCGAGTGCTGGGATTAAAGGCGTGCGCCACCACTGCCCGGCTTGTTTGTTGTTTTGAGACAGGGTTTCATTCTATAGAATAAGTTGATCTTGAATTTCAGACAACCCTGATTATTGGGGTTATAAGTGAAAGCCACCACACAGGCTTTTAAGCAATAGTTTTAAGCCTGACATAGTGGTATACACCTATAATTTCAGTTCAGGAATTGGAGGCAAGAAGATCATGAGTTTTCAAGCCTGGACTAAATTGTAAGATTTCGTCTGAAAAACAAAACCCATAATTTTATAAAGTACAATGGAAGTTATGGGTCTCCGGTAAACAATAACATAATCTGTACTAAAATTTTAGTGGTCCAACTTGGAAAATTTACTGTTTCCTTCTGGAGAGATTTAAGGGTGGAGGTATGAAGAAAAAAGGCCAAAAAGGTAGTTTCTCAGGTCTTTTGATGGTTTGTCACCAGTGTTTATTGGGCATCGAGGAAGACAACAGCCTCCTGTCCCCCTAAAAAAGGTACATAAATACCTGTCTTGATTGTCCTTGGACTAGAAAAAACTGACCAGGCTGTTGATCTAGTTTTCAGGGAAGTCGCATGCTGGAAGCTGCAAATATCTAGATGTGCACTGTATCATTCATTCAGTGAATCTTCATTGAGCAAGAACTGTGTGTCTAGTACAGGTCTTAGACCTGGGCATGAGCAGAAAACAGAAGAGGCAAGCATCCCTTCCTTTTAAGGCTGATAGATAATGAAGATGGAAAAGAGCAAAAAATACAAACCAAACACACACACACACACACACACACACACACACAAAATAAATAAATAAATAAGTGAATGAATAAATGAATAAATAAATAAATAAATAAATAAATAAATAAATAATAAGTGAATTAGGTGTCAGAGGGTGGGAACTTGGTAAGTAGCTTAGAGACCAACAAAACAGAGAAGAAATGTCCTGTCTAAGGATTAGGGCAACTTTCCATTTTCAATGTGCTGCTAGGGGAAGATGTCACTGAAGGAGTGACCTCTAGGACACACAAGATTGAGTGAGTGAAATCAGGAGAAAATGTGAGCACAACCAGGGGAAACGGCTCCCTGACACGGAACCCAGGTGTAACAGACCCGAGATGAGAGGACAATGTCCGTGGAACGACAAGCAGCCCAGGTTGGCCCTAGGCAGAGGTCTTTGCCCACTGGAGGAATTCGCATCTCTTAGTGAGCTAGGGGCCACAGGAGGGTGTGGAGAAAAAGAGAGACATGGTCTAACCTGCCCCTTTGTCTGCTGCCTGGAGAGTCGGTCTGTGGGTAGTTGTTCACGTTGAAGCAGGTCGATCTCCTCAGCAATCTGCATACCGCTTAGTAGCAGACAGGTACCGACAGAGGCGGTGAGAGGTGGACAGGCTCCAGATCCGTCTCAGAGATAACAACCACAGGTTGTCCTACTGGAGTGAATCTGGCTAGGGGTGGAGCATGAGAAAATAAAAGGAGTCGAGAATGCCAGGGCTTTTGTCCTGGTGAGAAGAATGCACAGGCTACTGTAACTCCAGTGAAGACTCTAGTCCAATCTGGGGACTTAAAGTAGTTTATTCAGCATTACCTCCTGTTTGCAATCAGATAGGTCCTTCCAAAAATTGTATGTATCTTTCTGTTACAAAGTAGGATGCTGTAACAGAATTGTTAGATGAAAATAATACAATCAAGTGATGCAATAAAAATTCTTGAATTTCTCTATTAGCCTTAGATGCTCTTTTGATCTTTACAAAATAAGTACAGAATTGTGTTTTCAAAAAAATTTATTAAACCATATGTAGCAGATTCTGCCTACAACCACCAACACTTGGAAGGTACAGGCAGGGGGATTGTCCAAGTTTGAGGCTAGCATTGGTTACAGTGCTAGTTCTAGGCCAACACAGATTAATGAAATAGGACAGAGGGCACCGCTTTTCAGATTGTATAAGGAGAGACATGGAGGACCTGAGAAATTAGCATGCACCATGGACTGATGCTTCTGACACCTGTCCAGAGAATTCCTCGCCATTCCCACTACCTGGAGAATTGAATTAAGCTCATTTGATGTTCTTTACAGTAAAAGTATTATTTTTTTTGTAGGAAAATTCTCTTAAGTTGTAACAACCAGTGAGCCTCTCAAATAGCGAGTACAGACCACTAACTATGATACACTATCTTACCTAATTTTCTTGTTTGGGTTTGGTTTTGAGATATGATCTCACTATGTAGCCCAGATGGGCCTTGAACTCTTGATGATCCTCCTGCTTCAGTCTGGGATTACAGGCATGTCTCATCCTGTCTGACAAAATTTCTTTTCCCTTTAAATCCTATTCTCCAGCCTCAACTTACAAAGAACCTATAGCCTGCTAATTTTATTGTTCTTTATATGTCAAAACTAAAACATGAAAATGCTACTTCAACATTTTTCTAGCAAAGTCTGCTCTAATGGTCAGTGGTAGGAGTCACGAGATGAATACACTATCGTTTCATTATTTTTCGCCTTCTCAACTCCATTTGCCATTCTAGAATATTCTGAAATGCAGCAACTATGCTGGAATCGAAAGTTTTTTAACAGTTAGTATTTCCTCCACGGTGGGGCAGAGCAAACAGTGGATGTGGGTTTCTAGTCTCCCCTGTTCTCCAGGGATTTTAGGTATGCAGAGCCTTGGCCATCAGCGCAAAGGAACAGCTCAGAGGTGGGGACGGCTGCTAGAAATGTTCCTTTGTTTAATTTTTTTCCTGTTATTGTATATGAAGCTTTGAAAGTCTCTTGACTTTCCATTCCAGAGGCACACGCCAGCCAGGTGCCAAGTGTGGCAACCGCTTGAGGGATAGCTGTGACCCAGCTTGTGGAGGGGTCAGAGTGAAGAAGGGTTCCCCTCGACGACAGAAGCCCTCCCCTGTCAGGGCGTGCCTCCCTCTGAGAGTGTGTCCTGGGAGGAAGGGTTCCAAGACGGGCTTCCAAGGTCAATGCAAAGGATGATCAAGCTGAGTGCTGGGAGGCAGTGGATCCGGTTGGAATTGGGAACTGTGGTTCTGCACTCTGTGTAGACTTGCTTTGTAACCTAGGGCGAGCGTCTTTCAATTCTCCCAGCTCCCATTTCTTCATCTGCTAAGCCAGGCCCGCCACAGACACTGGTATTATGTAAATACGCAGATACCATCGTTCCTTGAAAAGAAAAAAAAAATAGTGCTTTGATTAGCCAGTAGGGCTTTTCGGTTGCTTAGAGCAGGGTGTGAATCACAGCTCCTGGGTCTCAGCCCACCTTCTGAGATCTTCTAGAAAAGGCTCCTTCTTGGCTTTTAATACATAACGCTGCTGCTGTCCTGAACCAGTGGTGAGGCAGGTTGGAATGATCTGTTCTCATTTTCTTTCCTGTGAATCATTCTGTAGTGATGGACTCTCTTGCCTGGCTCTGCTGATATGTCAAATAGCAAATCTTACCTTGAACTTGCCAGATTCACTCTCCATACTCGTCCCTACCCGGGTATTCTCCCTGCCAGTATACACCCCTGCAGCTCAGCACACCGGTGATCTGCTACCACACTGTGATGTCACAGAAGCTAACATATTCTTACTGCCACATACAGGCACTCCTGAACTTTTCCACAGACACCGTATTTCCAACTGTTATGACAATGGGAACCGGGAGCTGGAGAGATGGTTAGGGGTAAAAGTGCTTGTCACTAAGTCTACCAACCTCAACCCACATAAAGGTGGAAGGAGAGAAAGTCCTCCTCTGACTTCCACAATCACACTCCCCCCAACACACACACACACACACACACACACACACACACACACACACACACACACACACCATCATCATCATCATCATCATCATCATCATCATTTAAAAATAGGAAGAGACAGGCAAGTGCCTTCCTGTGTTGGTAATGGGATCAGATTGGTGTAAAAATGGGGGCTTTTATTTCAATCCCAGGTCTGTCCCTCATTAGCTGTGCCAGACCGTCAGTCCTCTGAGCCTCTGTTTCATGGTTTATAAAATGACAATGACAGTTCGGGTCTCACCAACAAGTAAAGAGGATAGCAATGCGGAACAATATATTATAATATGGCTGGACACATAAACACGCAACCACTATAATCCTATAAACCACTAGAGTCTGTAATTATGATCGGCTGCTCAGTCTCCAGCAAGGCCCAAAAGACCTGGCAGATAAAGGGTACATCACGTTGGGGAAGCCGGGCAGAGTCAGCAGTGTATTTATGCAGACCATTGCCATGCTCCTGTGGCTGGCGAATCCTTAGGGTTTGCAAGACCTTGTGCTATGAGGCAAAGGGCTTTAACCACCTCCTTGCTAATAACTGTAGTGACCTCTAGTGGTACCCATTTTTCCCTGTGGGGGAAATGTTACACCCCTGTGAAAGGCCACTTCTAGCACCACCTTTTACTATTTTGCTTGTAAACCCAAACTTCAGAGATTGGTTAAGTGAAAACGAATCTTATGCTGAACTGACTGACTTAGTAATTTAAATTTTAGCACATTAGAGTTATTTTAAAAATCTCTGGATATTTCACACACTCATTCCCCTTTGACTTCCCACTCAGTATTCCTGAGTTGTGGGTCCCATACATTAGAATTTTCTCAAAACCTCCTAGACACATCTCATGAGCCAGGGATTGTGCCAGCTGGGCAGAAAAGAGTAAATAAAGATGAAAAGGGGGCAGGCCCCCGTGAATGCACAAGCAGAGAGCAGAACAAACAAAAACTGTCTGTGTTTTAAAATGTACTAAAATAGACCTTGACCCTATGAGAACAGCATCTTTTGACCCTTCATGAAATGTGGGCAGTTTTGCTTTCTCAATATGGTAAGAAGACTCTGGAACTCTGAAACGCATCAGAATAAAACTGACATGTTGACAGGGACACAAAAGAATGCTCACCTGGGTTGAGTATTTAACCAAAAGAGAATCACCCGGGGTGTGGAGAGATGGCTCAGGAGTGACCGGCTGCTTTTCCAGAGGACCTGGGTCTGATCCCCAGCACCTGCATGGTGGCTGACAGAAGGTGCTGGTCCCATGGGGTCTGACATCCTTCTGGAGACACTGCACACATGTGATGCACAGACATACATGCAGGCAAAACACTCATACACATAAAATAATAAAATAAAAACATTTGAGAATATATGAATAAAGACAGAGACAGAGAGGGGCCAGGCAGAATCACCAGGCACAGTGACTCGAACTGTACATTCAGGATTCTGGAGAGTGAGGCAGGAGGATTGCTACCAGTTTGAAGCTAGCCTACACTACATACTTCAGAGCTCCAGGCCAGCCTTGGCTATGTAGTGAGACCCTGTTTCAAATAATCAAGAGAGAGTAAACATGAATATTAAATCATGAGAACTGAAAATTCAAAAACTACTTAGTCATTTTAAATCTGTTGTCTTGCTTATTCAGCAAGTATATGTATAATTATTTTTTGGCAATTCTAATTTGAAATAAAAAGCATTTCTTTATATGAAAGCCAACATTAAATGTGTAAGTGCAAATGATTTGTATGCTTTCATATGATTCTAATATAAGGAATTTTACAAGGAAGAGGAATGCTTTGTCACTCTGTTTCAACTTGTGGAATATTGTTGATGTTCATACAGTTGGTGTGTAAGGAATAAACAGCCACATAGAGAATGCTAGTGTTCTCACATGAGGCCCAAAGTGTACTCATTTTTACTTGATAGTTATATGGAACTAAGGAATATTTTCAGCCTCTTCAGTAAGTACGATTATGTTCTATTTCTTCATTTGGACTTCACAACGATCTTTAGTGATGTTAGCCCAACAGTCTCATGGCCACAAATAACTCTCCAGACTTGGTAGGGATTTAAAAATTCAAATAGCCTAAAAATTGACCTGAAATCTTCAAAAACTAGTTCACAGAAGTTCAAGTTTTTCTCCTCTCACAACTAGGTAGAATACCTGTGGCCTCCTAGGACCGAAAGCTCACACATGGGGGCCCCATATTCATTTTGGAAGGCTGTACCTGTCCCTTGGTAGGGAAGATTTCAAGTCCCCTAGTTGAGAAACGGTGTGTCTGCATTTCCTTTGGACAACAGGGACTGATGTGGCACTCTCTTTTGGAACTGGTGAATAGGTGAGTCCCCGTTGGACAGAAAGCTAAGCACTGAGACCCTCTCTGGCACTAGTGGAAGATTTCTGTCCCCCTTGGACAGAAAGAGTCTGTCTAAAGCTCTCCTTGTTCGAAGCAGAGTAAGGGTAAGAGATTCGCCTCAAACACGGTGTCTTCTGAAAGAACACCAGGCCCCCTCCATCATTAGGAAGTTTGATTTCCCCTTCAGGGTTATGGATAGAACCACTATGGCCCTAGGATCTCCTTAGAGCTCAAAACTATCCAGTTAGAAGCACATCAAATGCCAGAGTGCTATTTTTATTCTTTCTTTTCTCATGCTTGTTCATTCTTCGTCCTGTTGAGGGCTCATTTTATTTATCCTCAGCTGGCTACCAGCTTAAGACACTTCAAATCTTCTGTCCTGCTCATTTTCAGGCAGAGCTGAGGGTCTGTCTGCAGAGCTGTTGCTTGCACTGATGAAGTGCGTGTCTTTGTGTTTTCCACAGTCAGATTTAATCACTCCAATTTGTATTTTATATTTAAAACTATAGTGATAATCTTACAACCTTTCACAGGAAATAGTCTTAGTAAACACCAAGTGCTGACTTGGGCACAGTTGGACAGCCAATACATTTTGTTGTTGTTCTTCTTCTTATTGTTGTTATTTTCTTGCAGTGTTGAAGATCAATCAAATCCAGAGCCTCACAGTTTCAGCCCAGTTCTAGATTATACTGATTATGTTAGCTTGGTTATCTGCTTAAAAAATTTCTATATAAGAGGCTGGAGAGATGGCTCAGAGGTTAAGAGCACTGACTG